TGGACCGGAGGGAAACAGAACGCTGATTCAACATCTGCTTTCGCCATGAGAGCGCCCTGGCCACATTTGTGGACCCAGGACATCACGGCGCCGAATGATGTATAGGTAACTGCACAATTCAGAGGGTTGATACCATCATTCACTGAACTCCCAGCCAGATACAAGAGATGATGAATCATCTTGAACTTACCCGCCTCCTTCTTTGGAACCACACCTAACGGGGATACCACCAGTCCCGGATTAGGCGGAGATGAAAACGGGCCACTCATGCGATCCTAACCACTTCCTTGCAGAGCATCTCTGCCACTCTCCAGATGAAGGAACGCAAATTTCTGGAAACCAGGGGAATTGCCCGTAACCGGCTTGGGATATGAAAACCTTTCCTAAACCCCACTTCCAAGGCGCAGGCCGCCGCCTGATCCAGATACCTTTTTAGGAAAGAAAGAATCCTTTCCAAACGCACTGGCTCCCTTTTTCCAGTGACGTCACCTGCGCGTCCTTTCCTTGTTTGAAACACCGACTAAGGGAATGGCTGCCTCCGCAACCAGAGCATTCATGTTTGAAGTGGCAGGCGCTACCAAACCGACACGTGCTGTCATTGAACTGCCAACAAAACCCCTTCTTTCTAGCGGCCGACGGTACTGAGGTGGAGGAGCCACCTCCAGGAAACAACTTACTCCCAGACCTGGGAGAAGTCATCAACTTCACCCATAAGCTGATATCCTTGTGGTCCCAGTGTATGGAAGGGCGAATGACCTTACACTGACAAAATTGCTCATCATAGCGGAGCCAAGCCAGCCCACCATAAACCTGGTGAGCCTCACTAATGGCATCCAGATAGCAAAAAAGGGGCAAACAATGCTCCGGAGCCTTTTCCCCTATCACGCTAGCCAGAATTGCAAACGCCTGCAACCAATTTGCAAACGTCCAAGGAATAAGTCGATTCGAAGTTTTCAGATACATAAACCATTGTTTGTGCACTCTATAACTTTTCGACAGACTAAATAATAAACACTGTTTTGGGTTATTTTCACCATAGAAATGTAGCAGAATACATGTTGGTCTATATTTATGAAGAAACATTTATTTGCAACATTTTATACAGTAATAGAAATGAAGAAAACCATAGGGTTTTTTTCAAATGAGTCTTTTTTTCATTTATTTAGCAAAAAAAAAAAAACCCAGTGGTTATTAAATACCCCCAAAAGAAAACTCTATTTGTGTGAAAAAAAAATGATGAACAATTCATATGGGTACAGTGTTGCATGATCGCGCAATTGTCATTCAAAGTGCAACAGTGCTAAAAGGTGAAAATTGGCCTGTGTATGAAGGGGGTTGAAGTGACTGGTACTGATGTGATTGAAAAGTGTTAGTGCACGTAACTACGGTTTTAGTAACCAGCATGCAGTATAAGTGCGGTAAAGATGCAATATAGGTGTGGTATAGGTACGGTATATATGCTAACCAGCATCAGTATAAGTGCAGTAAAGATGCAATATAGCCTCAAATCCATTGCCCGGTATATATGCCCTGCCTCCAGTACCTCAGCCCCTGCTAGCAATGTGAACGATGGGCAGTGCCCTCTCACCAGTTCCTGTAGTGTAGCTGTGTGAACTCTTGGTTTGGAAGGGGGGGGCCCTCAGTCTCTTCACAAAATGCCTCCAGAGTAGGAAGCAGAGAGTGAGAGGATACTCTGGTCTCCCTGTGGCAACGGTGCAGATGCAGTTGCTGCGGTCTATGCTGTGCTGCCCGGGTGTCTCTGCTGATCTGGTCTCTCAGGAGTCTGGTCAGTATGCAGCAGATGTGCTCTTACTGGTTCCTTGGCACCAAGAGGAAGAACCTAGCTGGACAGTCTCAGAAAAACAGCTCCACCGCTCCACAGCTTGGCACTCTCAATATGACCAGAATATAAAATCCTTGAAGGCAGAGGAGTTCTTTAAATTTGGAAATACTGTAAATCAGACAAACTCCTGGCCAGCCTGGCAAAATGTAGGAATCCAGCTTCCCACATCACATCACCCAGAGGGAAACATACTGTCCAATCAAAGATTCCCACATCTTGGGCATCTTTTCTGGTGAATGTTATAAAAATCATCTTTACTGTCACATTCAACCCCAGGGTGGAGATAATATTTTGAAAAAACAGGTCTCATCCTAGACAAGTGCAGAACAAAAAAAAATGTGTTTAGTTTTGATTAATTTAAATAATTTTGTTTCGTTTTCGATTTCCATTCAATTCTATTCAAATTCAATTTGACAAAATTCGGGAAATTCAAATCAGCATTTGAATTCGAATTGGCATTCGAATTATAATTTATTCTATTCGAATTTCGGAAGATGGTTATATTTTTTATATTTTATTCTATGCTAGGTTATTGTTTTTTTTTTCTATTCTAGTCTAGTCTTTTCTATTCTAGTCTTTTCTATTCTATTTTTTTTCTATTCTAATCTATTCAAATTTGAATTCCATTTGATTCTATTCAAACTCAATTTGACCAAAGTCAGAAAATTCAAATCAGCATTTGAATTCAAATTGATATTGGAATTATAATTTATTCTATTCAAAATTTGAATTTTGGAAGATTGTTATTTTTTTCTATTTTATTCTATTCTATTTTATAGTTTTTTCTATTTGATTCTTTTCAGTTCTATTCTTTCATGTTCTATTATATTCTTTTAGAGTTCAAGTCAAATTAGCTTAGAATTTTGTCTGAATTTCATCTGAATTTTGTTTAGTTATTTTGGATTCCTTGGCATTTGGAAACTCGGAAACATGTCCCGAATGTCCAGATAACTCAAAATTTGTTTGAATGCAAAACAAACTGAACATGTCTATCTCCTCCTTCTCTGCAGAGGGACTAGACATGCCCAATGCTGATATCACTTTGCAGGAGGTAAGTTCTGTAATGAAAGCCTCTCCATGAGCAAACGTTCCAGGACCTTATGCTCTGTTCACTGAATTCTGAAAACGTTTGCCAGAGGAAGCCATCCCAACACTCATCTCTCTCTTCAATCATATTCTGCAAGCTAATGCTTATTTGCCAACTGCTCATAAAGCCTATATAAAGATAGGTACTGAAAAAAATAGAAAAAGACTGGCTGTTGGACAGGCTTCTACCACCCAACATATTTGCCAAAATCAAAATGCAAAACTGTTGTCCAAATAATAGCTGATAGACTGCCCAGGGTGCTCCCTAGTTTTATTTTTACACAGGCCATATCTGTATCTGGGTACTCAAAAGTGATGAATGTCAGGAAAACTGTGACAATTCTAAAACATATACGTCTGTTGGGCCCTCCTTGGTGCTCAAAGTCACTGTTGGCCTTGGACGCTGAGAAGGATTGTGACCAAATTCATGCTTTATGTGAGTTTTAGGGGCCTATTCCTGAACTTTTTATCTACACTCTATTCTTCCCCAAAAGTTCATATTTTCACAGGTTCTCTGCTCACCATTCTTCATGTTATACTGACTGAAACAATATGTACTTCAGGTGAAGTCCAACTTTCTCTTCTACCTGTGAATTTTCAATCCCTAGGATGCTCTAGACATTTATACATTCTATTTCACACGAGTCACAAATAAAATAACATAAGAATTGCAAACATGGCAAATTCTGCTTCTACCCTATGCAAACAATAGCTAAGCTGATTAAATGCAAAGGCATATTAAAACTAAAAAAGGCTATCCTCACCCTTTTCTGAAAAGTGGGGCAATACCCAGAATAGTTTTCAAAAAGCAAAAACATTATACAGTAAATCCCAAACTTGGGGACAATTTATCTACTATCAAGTTGTACAATGTTTCTACCATCCTTAGACATATAGTTAGGTCCATACTGTATATTTGCACACAGGCACAATTTTAGTTTTTTTCAGGTATTTACCAAAACATACTCAAGCTATAGTTATATAATGGATATGGTCTGAAAGTGCACACTCAGGTTTAATTTGAGGGTATGTACATCCAAATTGGAGGAAGGGTTTAGGAATTACAGCTCTTAAGAATAGACATTCCCCCTTTTTCAAGGGACCAAAAAGTAAATGGACAATTGAAGCAAAAGCGGTTTCATGGCCAGGTGTGTGCTACTCCTTCATTATTTCTTCATCAATTAAGTAGGTAAAAGGTCTGGAGTTGATTCTAAGTGTGGTATTTGCATTTGGAATCTATTACTGTGAACCTACATCATGTGTTCAAAGGAGCTGTCCATGCAAGTGGAAAAGGCCATTGTAAGGTTTCAAAAACAAAACAAATCCATCAGAGAGATAGCAGCAACATTAGGAATGGCCAAATCAACAGTTTGGTACATTCTGAGGAAAGAAAATGCACTGGTGAGCTCAGCAACATAAAAAGGCATGGATGTTCACAGACAGTGGTGGATGATCGCAGAATAGTCTCTATGGTTCTCTAGATTGTAAGCTCGAAAGAGCAGGGATCCCCTCATGTTTTGCATTGTATTGGTATTGTTCTGATGTTCTGTCCCCCTTTGTAATGTACAGCGCTGAGCGAACTATTGGCGCTTTAAATACTATATAATAATAATAATGGTAAAGAGAAACCCATTCACAACATCCAGACAAGTCAAAAGTCATTGTCAAAGTCTACAATCAAGAGAAGACTTCATGAGAGCAAATTCAGATGGCTCACCACAAGGTGCAAAAAATTCATAAGCCTGGAGAATAGAAAAGCCAGGTTAGACTTTGCCAAAAAAAAAATCTAAAAAAGCCAGACCAGTTATGGAAAAGCATTTTTGGATGGATGAAACTAAGATGAACCACTTGCCAACCGCGCTATAACCGAATGACTGCTATAACGCGGTTGTTCAGTTCTGGGAGGGCATCATATGACATGCTCCCAGAACGTGCCCTCCTGCGCACCCCTGGGGGTGCACACCTGGTGATCTCTGTGATTGCTGTGTCCTACGGAAACCGCTGATCACATGATGTGGTAAAAAAGCCAATCACAGCAGCTTTTTACTACGTGATCAGCTGTGTCCAATGACTGTCACAGCGTGAGGAAAGCACTGCCGATAACTGTCAATTGTCAGAGGACAGATTGGAACTGATCATCAGGGCACTGATGATCAGTGCCCTGATGATCAGTGCCCAGCAGTGCCATCCACCTGTGCCCACCTGTGCCCAGCCCATCCACATGTGCCCAACAGGGTCTTAGTGCCACCCACCTGTGCCTAGCAGTGCCACCCACCAGTGCCCATCAGTGCCATCCATCAGTGCCCAGAAGTGTGGCCAGTCAGTGCCACCCATCAGTGCTGCCTCATCAGTGCCACCTATCAGTGCTGCCTATCAGTGCCCAATATTGTTGCATATTAGTTCCCTCTATCAGTGCCCATCATTGTTGCATATCAGTGCAGCATCATCAGTGCCACCTATCAGTGCCTCCTATCAGTGCTGCCCACCAGTGCTGCCTATCCATGCCACCTCATCAGTGCTGCCTATCAGTGCTGCCTATCAGTGCAGCCTCATCAACGCACATCAGTGAAGGAGAAAAATGACCTGTTTGCAAAATGTTATAATAGAAAAAAGAAAAACTTTTTTTTTTCAAACGTTTTTTTGCTGAATTTTTTTTGTTTATAGTCATCTAAACAAAGAAAACCACAGTCTGTGATTAAATACTACACAAACAAATCTCTATTTTAATTGAAAAAAATTATAAAAATTTCATATGGGTACAGTGTTGATGACCACGCAATATGTCGTTCCCTAGCTTAATGACTTCGCCCAGAGCTGAAAATTGGCCTGAGCCAAAGTGAGCCAGTACCTTGGTTAATCAATGTACCAGATGATATTGGATGTGTGTGGAGAAGCTGCTTGGAACAGCTCATGATCCAAAGCACACAACTGTTCATGGGTTTACTGGTTTCAAGAAGCACTGTCTGATGTCATGGGCATGAAAAAGGCTTTCAGTGACCACAATCAAGGTTCTTGATTGATGAAGCTGGAAAGGGTGACAAAAGTAGCCGGAAATGCCTTGATGTTCACGTGTCCATGGTAAGACAGACTGTCTACAAATGCAGAAAGTTTGACTGTTGCTACTTCACAGGCAGTGGTCAATCCTGTAAAAATGACTGCAAGAGCACAGCGCAGAATGCTGTTTGAAGGAAAAGAAGAATCCCAGATGTGTCAGTCTAAATCACCTGATCTCAGAAATCTTGGCACATGCATTTTTGTTGAAGGCAACACTAAAGGCAGTAAGTCCATTAAACAAGAAAGAACATGGGAGGACAGCTGCAGTTAGAACCTTGCAAAGCATCCAGAAAGGAGGAATACTGCATTCACGTTTGAATTTGCCATGGGTTCCTGGACTTCAGGCAGTCACTTGTCAGTAAAATATCCCAACAGAAAAACCACAATTGACATTTTTGGGAAGAACATTCAACACTATGATTGAAAAAAAGGCACGAAAGAGCAAAACCTCGATCCCCACTGTAAAACATGGCGGATTGTTGAGCATCATGGTTTGGGGCTGCTTTGCTGTCTCAGGGCATGGATGGATTGTTGTCATTGATGGGAAAATGAATTGTTTATCGAATTTTGCAGGAAAACGTATAATCTGTAATAAACTTTGTCCAATTACAGGATGAGCCCCTGCAAAAAATGAGGGACTGTATAAATAATGGTTGCATTCCTAAAACAATGTACTTGCAATTTACAGAATACGCCCCTGGAATTAAAGTCAAAGTCCTGACCTCAAATTCATTTGGATTGTTTCATCTGAATTGCTGGTGGCATGACCTTAAGCCAAAAGAGCAATTCACACCGTGAAATATCCCAAGAATATTGACCTACACTGAAAAACATTTTGTGAAGATTTGGGTCCAAAATTACTCCAGATCGTTGTGCCGGTCTGATCTGCACACAGGAAACGTTTGGATTGAGGTTATTGCTGCCAAAGGAATTTTATCAACACAAAGTTATTGAGTACAAAGGTTCACATACTTTTTCTCCCTGCACTGTGAATGTTTACATGTTATATGCAATTAAACCATGGCAACATCTAATGCAATTTTTAAAATGATTTTATTTATTAAGGGAAAAAAGCTGTTCAAACATGCCTTTGTGAAAAGGTATTATTGTTCTGCAGACTGTGTTCTTCTATTGTGTAAATCATAGATGAACGTTCAGCCAGCACATTTTATGCCCAATTCATGCAACACTCCACATAATCCCTTGTGACACCATACTTTTTCTTGCAACTGTTGAAAAAAAGAAAAACTTTTTTTTCAAATTTTTTGCTCTTTTTTTTTTTTTTTTATAGTGCAAAAAAGAAAACACCAGTGGTGATTAAATACACCAAAAGAAATCTCATTTTTGTGAAAAAAATTATAAAAATTTCAAGGGTACAGTGTTGCATGACAAGGAAATTGTTGTTCAAAGTGCAACAGCGCTGAAAGCTACAAAAATTAAGGCCTGGGCACAAAGTGCCCAGTAGGCAATAGTTAATCTGTTCCGAATGATGGAAGAAAAAAGTGTGGAGAAGGCTTGGAACAGCTCATGATCCAAAGCACACAACGTCATCTGTAAAACATGGTGGAAGCAGTGTGATGTCATGGGCATGCATGGCTTTCAGTGGCAGTGGGTCATTGGTGTTTATTGATGATGTGACAGAAGCAGCCAGATGAATTCTGCAGTGTTTAGAGATATACTGTCAGCCCACATTCAGCCAAATGCAGCAAAGTTGATTGGACGGTGCTTCACAGTACAGATGGACAATCATCAAAAAAAAACACTGCAAAAGCAACCCAGGAGCTTTTGAAGGAAAATAGTCTGAATATTCTGCAATGGCCGAGTCAATCACCTTTCTCAAACCAATTGAGCATGCATTTTACTTGCTGAAGGCAAAACTAAAGGCAGAAAGTCCCACAAAAAAGAACAACTAAAGACAGCTGCAGTTAAGCCTGTCAAAGCATCAGAAAGGAGGAAATCCATTCTTTGGTAATGTCCTTGGGTTCCAGACTTCAGGCAGTCATTGTCAGTAAAGGATTCTCAACAAAATATCACAAATGAACATTTTTTTCCGGTATGATTATATTGATTTGTCCAATTACATTTGAGCCCCTGAAAATGATAATTGATGGAGGGACTGTATAAAAATGGTTGCAGTTCCTAAAATTTGTACTTGATATTTATGTTCAACCCCTTGAATTAAAGCTGAAAGTCTGCACTTCAAATTCATTTGAATTGTTTCATTTTAATTTATTCTGTGGCAAATAGACCAAAAGTAAAAATTGGGCACGTGTCCAAATGGTTCTGTAATGGACCTAACTGTATACATTGATGTGGAAAAGTATTTGTCCCCTTCTATCATTTTTTTTTTTTTTTTGCATATTTGTCTCACTTCAATGATTCAGATTCATCAAACAATTTTTATATTACACAAAGTTCACCCGAGTACATACAAACTGGTTTTCAATTTTAAAATGACTTTTCCAGTCTTTTATTAAGGAAAAAAAAACTGTTCAAACATGCCTTCAGACTGTTGTGAAAATGTAATTGCCCCCATGCTAAATCATGCATGAACTGTGCAGATTAGCCACACTTTTTGGAAAGCTGAGTTAAATTTCACTTGTGACACCCTACCTGATTACTGTGATTACTGCCAGACCTGTTGAATCAAGAAATCACCTAAATAGAAGCTGTCTGACAAAGTGGAAAAAGTGAAGCACACTAAAAGATCATTCAAAAGCAACACATCATGCTGCTATCTAAATAAATTCAAGAGCAGATGAGCAACAACTCCCTTCAGAATCTTGACAAGTATCCCCTGGAAAGGGTACAAAGCCATTTCTAATATACATAAATGGGCTAAGATGATCCAACAAATACCAGAGAGCGCCAAAAAATGCTGCAATGGTGGAGCCAACAATTGCTAGGAGAATCATGGGAAATTCAATTCAATCAGATTCATAGAGCTTATTAGGCCTTCAATACCCTCCTTAAATTCCCCCCTTCTCCCTCAAACTGATTGGTCTCATGCCTGAAATGCAACACATCCCTTCCCAACTTTGTTCACAATATGTGGTCTTGCCCCCACACATATAGCAGTTTTGGTAGCAAGCTGTCCAGTACATGAACAATACCACAGGGAATTCTAAAATTCTTCACCCAGTATTTTGTATTTTCCATAATTCCATCCCTATGGAGAAATATGATAGACCCAAGCCATCAAAATGGGAAGATTACTGCTTATTGGGTAAAAAAAGGCCATGCTGTCTAAATGGCTGCTCCCATTGATAGCAGACCTAAGAAAAATATAATCCCAGCATATGCTAATAACAAACTAAATACTAAAGACAATTTAGACCACACCAAAAAGATTATCTCATAAGAGAACTTAAAATAGCTAAACATGTCATGGCCCGCTTTCACTACACAACATGGTATACCTTGGTGAAATCATGGGCACTCTAGGTAAATTACATGCACTCTAGCCAGACCCTCAAACACCCACAATTTGGAGTACCTCTGTTAAAGTATAACTGAAGGCACAACATTTTTTTTTTTATTTGGATAGAGTGGAGAAGGGTTAAAACCCTTGTCAAGTGTTTATTGCTGTCTGAACCCCCCATTAGACTCACCTTCTTTATTTGTTCATTATACCATTATCATTGAAAGTGAAAGCAAAAGAAAATTCCCAATTTTGGGTTGTCCCAGAAAGGTAATAGAGGGGAAATCTTCCAATGGGGATACTATTTCTAGTGACCTGAGAGGCCCCAAGGGACTCTCTTAATTTGCAGGGGTTTCCTCTCACTTCCTGTTTTGTCTATGGGACAGAAAGTGAAGGGAAATCTCCCCAATGGGACACAAATGGCAAACGAGGGGATTATAAACCTTCCTTATTCTATCCAAAATGGAAAAAAAAAAAGGTTTGCTTTTAGTTCTAGTTTAAGAAATCCCTTGGCACTGGCCCTGAATGTGTACAGGCAGGCCCCGAGTTAACAACATCCAACTTAGATATGGCTCATACTTAAGAATGGAGAGAACGTGACATCATGCTGAACCCTGAAAACAGCCGGTTGGCCATCTTGCTGCTCACCACATGTTGCCACCTACTGTCCAGCGGACCTGTCAGCAATCCCACACCATTGCATGGTTGGTTAACCTTCCCCTATGCTATCCAAAATGTAAAAATATTTTTTTGGCTGGTGTGGAGTCACACTTAAATGTACCTGCTCTAACTTGGGGACTGTCTGTATCTAGATGGAGATCTAGTTGATGCTTAACTTGTCCAGTTCAAGGCAATGTGTTTTCTTATGTATATTTGGTGTTTTATGCATTTTTAATTCTTTTATTCTTTTTGAAGTTTAAAAAAAAAAAAGTTTTTCTGTTCTACGCTTCATGGCCTCAAACCTTCACACTGTTTTGTGATAAAAACTGACATATTTAAGACTTGTACTACTTCTATACTGTACATGCTTCAGTGTCTGTAAGTACATTTATATTATGCTTGTACAACTGCTTAAAAAAAGAATTAAATTTAAAATTTACATTCTTAGAAAAAAGAACGCCTATACTTTAATGTGTAATCTGCTTTAATGCAATATGAATGGATGTCACCAAAGTCTTCAGTCAAAGTA